CCAGGGATCGAGTCCCCACTCCAGGCATGTGGCCTTGGAGGGAATCGAACCTGGGGGCCTTCGGACCACAGGCCGTCGCTCTATCAAAAGACACAGGCAGCCCGGGGCATGAATCTTTTTGGAAAAATTCCCCTTCCCCCCCCAGTTCTGACCCCAGGAGCACTCAAGGCGGCAAAATCAAAAAGATATGCGTGCTCTAGCCGGTTTGGCTCAGTGGATAGAGCGTGGGCCTGCGAACTGAAAGGTTCCAGGTTCGATTCTGGTCAAGGGCACATGCCCGGGTTGTGGACTCGATCCCTAGTGGGGGACTTGCAGGAGGCAGCCGATCCATGATCCTCTCTCATCATGGATGTTTCTATCTCTCTCTCCTCCCTTCCTCTCTGCAATCAATAAAAATATATATATTTTTAAAAACAACATAAATGTATTAAAAAGAAGATAACGGAACACTGGGAGTGACAAGATCTAGATATATAGCGTAGGTGCAGATAAAAGGAGCTGTGGCCCTAGCTGGTTTGGCTCAGTGGATGGAGCATCAGCCTGCGGACTGAAGGGTCCCAGGTTCGATTCCAGTCAAGGGCACATGCCTGGGTTGTGGGCTCGATCCCCAGTAGGGGACTTGCAGGAGGCAGCCGATCCATGATCCTCTCTCATCATGGATGTTTCTATCTCCCTCTCCCTTCCTCTCTGAAATCAATAAAAATACATTTAAAAAATAAATAAAAGGAGCTGTGACAGTGTACAGAGAACCCCCACACTTGGAGGGTGGGAGTGGAATGTCGTGAAATAGCAATGTGCTAAAAGCTTCTATTTATTGGATGCTTTCACTCTGACCCTCTGTGCTCAACATAGTTGCATGGACTCTCCCAGGACCACCGTGGAAGGGGTTATTGTCATTATTATCTTAGTGAGAGCACACAGAGGCTTGGAGAAGTAAGTCATTTTTGCCCGTGGTCAGCACAAATGAAAAGGGGAAGCTGAACTTTCAACCAATAAAGAATTTAAATTAAATACAAGAGAAAAGGGGGAAGCTGAGATTTGAACCTGAGCCCTCAGATTCCAGGCCAAGGTCTCAGCCTTAGGGTCTTGTTGGCCAGACTCGGCCTATCAACATGTTTTCTTTGGCCGATGTTTATTGGTAAAAAATGTGAATTTGTTGACAACTAATTCCGTGTAAACATCCGGGATTCCAGCTTCTCTTGGAAATAAAATCCCCCAATTTGGCAACCTTTGGCTCACGTTCCCTGACGAAAATCATCTGGCTCCGTTAGCGACAGTTTGTCTTGTTAGACAAGTGGCGAGTTCCCAGTCTCCCCCAGGCCCTCTTCTCACACTAGCGAAGTCTGCGGGGACCCTATGGACATTCTTTTAGGATTTTGTTTTTCTTTGGGGGGAAATTTTGCAAAATTCCAGAGTACTTCATATTGTGAACTCTCATGCACCCCTCTCTGCGCTTCAGCAATGATCAGCATTTGGTCCAGTTGTTGTCTCCCTGTGTGTTCTCTTTTTCTGGAGTGATTTCAATCCCATGACCTAGCTGGCGTGGTTCAATGGTTAGAGAGTCAGCCCACACACCAGGAGGGTCTCGGATTCAATTCCCGGTCAAGGGCATGTACCTGGGTTTCAGGTTCAGTCCCCGTCCTCCGTCCGAGTCCATGTAGGAGGCAACCAATCAATGTGTCTCTCTCGCATGGATGTCTCTCTCTCTTTCTCTCTCTCTTCCCTCCTCCTTCCCCCCCTCTGCCCCTTCCACTCTCTCTAAGAATCAATGGAAAAAATAACCTCCAAAAAAAATTAAATCCCAGATGTCATATTATTGTCCCATAAATATTTGATTCCTCATTTCTAACACATAAGGACTCCTGTAGCATGACCACCCTGCCAATTTGCACACTCACCATTAACAGTCATACTTTAATATCATCTGATGCCCAGCTGGTGTTCAGATACCCTCAACTGTGTCAAAAGTGCCTTTCTCCCTCCCCCCGCCCCACCCCCAGCCTCTGGAGGGATTTGAATTAGGAACTTCCTGTTGACCACTTGACTTTAAAGAAAAAGGAGAAGGGCCAGTTGGCAGGGGAAGAGACGAGTCAGGAGACGGAGGCATTGGGGGTGATAAGAGAGAAGTTTGTAGAAAGAAAAAGTGGGAAGTGTGTCATGGATTTAGCAAGGATTTGGGGAAGATGGGACCAGGGACAGAGAGAAACGTGAAGCTGATATGGAGCTGCAATAAAATTAATAGAGCCCTAACCGGTTTGGCTCAGTGGATAGAGCGTCGGCCTGCAGACTGAAGGGTCCCAGGTTCGATTCCAGTCAAGGGCATGTACCTTGGTTGCGGGCACATCCCCAGTAGGGGGTGTGCAGGAGGCAGCTGATGAATGTGTCTCTCTCATCGATGTTTCTAACTCTCTATCCCTCTCCCTTCCTCTCTCTAAAAAAATCAATAAAATATATTTAATTTTTAAGATAAAAGTAAACTGTAATTTTTTAAAAAAGAATTCCAAAACTAAATATATATATATATATTTAAAAATAATAAAAAATAAAATTAATAGAAAGTTACAAGTACTGCTGCTTTGGGTATCTGACACGGATGATTCATCCTCACATGCTTTGTGAGGTGGGTGGCTGTCCTTACCGCCACCTTCCAGATGGCTCGCTTAGCGGAGGCCACGGTAGGATCTGGCTAAGGCTGCACCATGAGTAAGTACCAGAGCCAGGATTCAAACCCTGGCCGTGGCCCCTCGCTCCAGGGACCCCACCCTGGGCTGCCCCTCTGCAAAGCCCACATGCTATGCCTTGGGCTCGGTTAGATGTGCCACGGCCGAATAAACCGCGACTGGCAGGACAGCATCCAGTCAATCTTCGGGATTCGGGGTCCCACACTCACTCCCCAAGCGCTGACAGCTGAGATGGAGGGAACACAGGAACCACCTGGCTTTGAAGCCACACGGTCCCATGGGCATCGCTTCCAGGTGTACAAACAAAAACGTGCGCACGGACATCTCTACCAGCACAATTCACAATAGCCAGAGAGCGGAAACGGCCCACATGCCCAGCAACTGAGGGCCAGCTAAACAAAATGTGGTCCATCCCGATAAGGAGCACCTTACAGCCATGAAAAAAAATGAGGTGCTCATACAGGATATGGCATGGATGGGTCTTGAACACGCCATGCCAATCATAACATTAAAAAGAGGAAAAGAAAAAACCAGGCCAAGTGAAAGAAGCCAGCCACAAAAAGCCATTTGGTGTAGGATTCCATGGACGTGAACTGCCCAGAATAGCAAATCCATTGAGACAGGGCAGATTGGTCGTTACCAGGGTTTGGGCGCAGTGGGGAAGGAAGAGCGACTGCTTAGCAGTGGTTCTCAACCTTCCTAATGCCGCGACCCTTTAATACAGCTCCTCATGTTGTGGTGACCCCCAATTTCATTGTTACAAATTGAACATAATGAAAGCATAGTGATTCATCACAAAAACAACATGTAATTATATATGTGTTTCCCGATGGTCTTAGGCGGCCCCTGTGAAAGGGTCGTTCGACCCCCAAAGGGGTCGAGACCCACAGGTTGAGAACCGCTGGCTTAATGGCTGCGGAGCTGTCTTTTGGGGGTGATGAAATGTTTGGGAATTAGAAAGTGGTAATAGTTGCATCATATTGTGAATTTACTAAATGCCACTGAATTGTACACTTTAAAATGGTTAAAATGTTGAGTGTGTTATGTGTCTGTTATGTTTATGTCTATTTTCTACCTACACAGGAAAAGAATTAGCTGGTGGGGCGAAGGGGGGCGGGTGTCCCCCTCCCAGAGGACACTGGGCAGGGATCGCGCTCCTTGAGCTGCCGCTCAGACCCCTTTCCAAACTCTCCCCCTTCCCCAGGCCTGGCTGGACACCCAGGATCGGTGCTTGGGTCACTATGTAAGTGGAAAGTGGTTAAAGCCGGAAAACAGGAAGTCAGTGCCTTGCCAGGATCCCATCACAGGTAGGAGGCGTCCCCTAGTCATTAGGGGACGGAGAGGCACCCATGCCCCCGGCCGTACCTACCAAATTCACCCTAATGTCTTTGCTCAGGGCCTGATGCAGGGAGGAGGCTGAGAGTTTGGGCTCCTCCTGATCCTGGTTATTCTAATATGGTCCCAAGCCCCGTGGACACTTTTCCGAGGCACCATCTACTAAAAATCCCTCCCTTAGCTTTGCGCAGTGGCAGTATCGTAGCCAATGAGGTTTATCTGAGGCTCGATTATTGCTAAAAAAAAAATAAAAATAAAATCCCTTCCTTGCCTGCGGAGGCCGTCGGCTCAAGAACCAATGGATTTATCCCCATTTGTCGGATGACAGAACTGAGACCCTCAGCAGCTTTACTGCCCGCTCCCAGTCCCCGGAAATCTTAGCCCCCCGCCGTTCTGACACAGTTTCCCCCCCTCTTCAATCTGGGTCCCCCCCCCTTGTCTCCCCAGGAGAGAACTTGGCCAGTTGCCTCCAGGCACAGGCTGAGGATGTGGCGGCAGCCGCAGAGGCAGCCAGGGCCGCCTTGGAGAACTGGAGCGGACTCCCCGGAGCCTCTCGGGCCAAGCACCTGACCAGGTGATGCGGTTGAGGTGTGGACCCAGGGAGCGGGGGAAGGACTGAGAACAAAGACTCTGGCTCTCAACATCCCACGGAATTCATTGGCCGCTAAGGTTCATGTTCCCGGCATGCCTCTTGGCCTTTAGTCCCATCTATGGGGACTAGTAATAACAAAACCTCTATTTCCCCCCGAAAGAATATCCTTGGGGCTCATCGGGACTGGTGGAGCCCCAAAGTCCATTTCCCAGCACCCTCCTGGGGCAGCTAGAGACAGAGATTCCATTTCCCAAAATGTGTGAGGTTAGAGGTGAGCCCCAGCATCTCCAGGGTTACAGGTGGCCAAAATCTTTGCACAGCAGCCTCAGGATTTGTTTCCTGGACTACGTTTCCCATCAATCTCTAGTGTTCTCTCCCCCTAGTAAATGGGGATGTCCCAGGGGTTCGTGGGGAATATTGTAGTCCAGGTAAATGGGGTGTGTTTCAAGACCCTGTCAGGCTGAGGGGCACCGGGAAATGACCGGCCCCCTTGCTTTCTGCACAGGCTGGCCAAGATGATCCAGAAGCACCAGCGGCTGCTGTGGACCCTGGAGTCCCTGGTTACTGGGCGGGCTGTTCGAGAGGTTCGAGACAGGGATGTCCCGCTGGCCCAGCAGCTGCTCCAGTACCATGCAATTCAGGCACACATCCAGGAGGAGGCGCTGGCAGGCTGGGAGCCCATGGGTGAGAAGCATGAGTCCGGGCCCCCAGCCCCCTCCTCCATCAGGGCCCACCAGTGCCTGTCCCAGTCGCCTCATTTGTTCTTGCAGGAGTAATTGGTCTCATCTTGCCACCCACATTCTCCTTCCTGGAGATGATGTGGAGAATTTGCCCTGCCCTGGCTGTGGGTAAGTGATGGGCTGGGGGCCTGGACCCCTGGGTCTGCGGGAGGAGGGGCTGGGGGCCTGGGCTCCTGGGTCTGAGGGAAGAGGGGCTGGGGGCCTGGACCCCTGGGTCTGAGGGAGGAGGGGCTGGGGGCCTGGACCCCTGGGTCTGAGGGAGGAGGGGCTGGGGGCCTGGACCCCTGGGTCTGAGGGAGGAGGGGCTGGGGGCCTGGACCCCTGGGGCTTAGGGAGGAGGGGTTGGGGGGCCTGGACCCCTGGGTCTGAGGGAGGAGGGGGCTGGGGGCCTGGACTCCTGGGTCTGAGGGAGGAGGGGCTGGGGGCCTGGACCCCTGGGTCTGAGGGAGGAGGGGCTGGGGGCCTGGACTCTTGAGTCTTTGAGTTGCCCTCCTTCCCCAGGCTGCACTGTGGTGGTCCTCGTGCCCCCGGCCTCCCCAACGCCCCTCCTCCTGGCCCAGCTGGCAGGGGAACTGGGCCACTTCCCAGGAATCCTCAACGTGATCAGTGGCCCTGCCTCCCTGGGGCCTGTCCTGGCCTCCCAGCCCGGGGTCCAGAAGGTGGCCTTCTGCGGAGCCATCGAGGTACCTTCAGGGCGACAGGGCGACAGGGCGGGGCTGGGGTCCAGAAGGCTTTCCCCCCTCTGAGCCCCGTGGGGTGCGGGGTCCCCTCAGGAAGGACGTGTCCTTCGGCGGACCCTGGCGGGCGTGGGTCCCGAGCTGGGCCTGGCGCTGGGGACCGAATCGCTGCTGCTGCTGACGGAGGCGGCAGATGTGGACTCGGCCGTGGAGGGCGTGGTGGACGCAGCCTGGTCGGACCGCAGTCCGGTGAGACCCTCGTGCCGGCGTCCCCTGATGTCCTGCGGGCCGTGCCTGTCTGTCTCCAGACCCCGGGGCTCCGTCTCTGTTCAGTTTTCACTCCCTGGTGTCTTCACACCATCGCGCGTGTGGGACTCATCTCCGATTTCTGGATCTCCCTGCCCGGCTCTCCCGGTCTTTCAGGGTCCGGCCTGTCTCTTGCTCCCTAGGACCCCTCACTGTTCTGAGCGTTCGTGCCCCTGGTTTCCCAACCTCTGTCTTTACTCTGAATGACCAGCTTTCTGGAACTCCACCTTCTGCCTGGGGTCCTTGGCCACTTCTCCCTGACCCTCCTTCGATCTCTGCATGTGTGTCCCCGAGTCTCAGCCCTCCGTGGGGGCCTGTCCCCCCACATGGCCCCTGACCTCCCTTTCCCTAACAGGGGGGCCTCAGGCTTCTCATCCAGGAGTCCGTGTGGGACGAGGTGATGAGGCGGCTCCAGGTGCGGATGGCGCGGCTCCGGGGAGGCCGAGGGCTCGACGGGGCCGTGGACATGGGGGCCCGAGGGGCCGCTGCACGTGACCTGGCCCAGCGGTATGTGCGCGAGGCCCAGAGCCAGGGCGCACAGGTGAGCCAGGGGTGCAGGACCTGGGTCTGAGGGAGGAGGTGCTGGGGGCCTGGGCTTCCGGGTCCCGGGGGAGGAGGGACCCGGGAGTGGACTTGTACTAGTAGATGTGTTTCTGTCTCCCAGGTGTTCCAGGCTGGCGATGTGCCCCTAGACAGCCCGTTCTTCCCCCCAACCTTGGTCTCTGACCTGCCCGCCTCCTCCCCGTGTGCCCAGGCAGAGGTGAGCCCCTCCGTGTCCAAGAGATCCTGCTCCACCCACCCATCTGCACCCAGACAGGGGCCACGGCAGAGGCCCTGGGTGGCCCCTTGGCCTGAGTCTGGGGCTGCTGACTGCGGGACGCTGGCCCCCTCGTGGGGGCGGGCATAGGAGGGCGGGGTTGGCAGGCTGCTTGAACTCACTGTCACCTTCCAGGTACCGTGGCCTCTGGTCTTGGCCTCCCCATTCCGCACGGCCAAGGAGGCACTGGCCGTGGCCAACGGGACGCCCCGAGGAGGCAGTGCCAGTGTGTGGAGCGAGAGGCTGGGGCAGGCCCTGGAGCTGGGCTACGGGTCAGTGGCGCCCGCCGGGCACAGGCAGCGGCCTGTGGGGAGGGCCTGTGCTTCAGTCTTCACGCCTCTGTCTCTGACTCTCCACCCCCCCGACTCCCTGCTTGTCTCTCTGATGCCCCGTCCTCTCCACAGGCTCCGGGTGGGCACCGTCTGGATCAACGCCCACAGCCTCAGAGACCCTGCGGTGCCCACGGGTGGCTGCAAGGAGAGTGGGTCTTCCTGGCACGGGGGCCTAGATGTGAGTGTCCCCTCCCGCCCGCCACCATGGGCACCCTCTCTCAGCCCTGTGCCTGCCTTGCACCCTCCTAACACTGTCCCTCTCGCAGGGTCTGTATGAGTACCTGCGGCCCGCGGGGACCCCTGCCCGGCTGCCCTACCTTTCTGAGAATCTGAACTATGACACCTTTGGCCTTACCGTCCCCTCAGCCCTCCCAGCCGGGCCTGAAACAGGTCCCAGGTGAGCTGTTCCGGGGCCCACAATTCCCAGAATCCTGTGGGTGAGGAGGGCAGGCTCCCCTTGGACTGAAGCGGGTTAGCTAGAGGCCCTGGAGGGGTCCCAGGCCCCACCGGGATCTGCATTCTAGGTCTTACGGCCTCACACCCACTGTCCAGGCCTGAGGAGAGCCTCAGTCCTGCCCAACGGAGGTCTGGGGTCTCCCAGAGTCTTGGGCCAAGAATTGGGGGTTACCCAGAAGCTCATGGGAGCTGGAGTGGTCCGTTCAGGGGGCTGGCGCAGGGGCTCTGAGCACACCTTGGCCCCAAGACCCACCCTCACACCTCACCCTACTGCAGCCCAGCACCCCCCTATGGGCTCTTCGTGGGGGGCCGTTTCCAGGCGCCTGGGGCCCGGAGCTCCAGGCCCATCCACGACTCGCAGGGCAATCTCCATGCCTATGTGGCCGAGGGCGGAGCCAAGGACATCCGAGTGGCTGTGGAGGCCGCCCACCAGGCTGCCCCTGGGTAAGTGGGGTGTCGGCAACACCCAGGCCCTGTGAGGCCTCAGAGCGGGCAGTGGGGACCCCCAGGGCTGAGGGGCTGTGGGGTTAGCTCCACGGCTGACGGAATAGGGGTGTGGTTGGCCCCTCTCTTCCTGGGGGCGGCTGAGCTATCGGGCCTGGACCCCCAGGGTAAGGGCCGGGGACAGAGGAGGGGCACCTGGGAAGAGCCAGGGCCAGGAGACCAGCCCCCGATGTTCACTGTCCGCCCACAGCTGGGTGGGCCAGTCCCCGGGGGCCCGGGCAGCCCTGCTGTTGGCACTGGCAGCCGCCCTGGAGCGCCGGGAGCCCACCCTGTCCTTGAGGCTGGAGAGGCACGGAGTGGAGCTCAAGGCCGCCCAGGCGGAGGTGGAGCTGAGCGTGACGCGGCTTCGGGCCTGGGGGGCCCGCGCCCAGGCCCAGAGCCACAGCCTGCAGGTGAGCGGGCCGGTGGGAGGGCAGACAGAGCGGGCGGCGTGGAGCGGGGTCGGAACAAAGGCTCTGGAGTGAGCCACACCTGGGGCCCAAGTTGTGATCCCCAGCAAGTACCTTGGCCTCTGTACCTCAGTTTTCTCATCTGTATAATGGGCATAGGGCCTACCTCAGATTAGTGTTTCAAATTGTTAGTAACCCATAAAGTCAACTGAGTGGGTTGTAACCATGATTTCTTCTTTTTTTTTTTTTTTAATATATTTTATGATTTCTCAAAGAGAGGAAGGGAGAGGGATAGAGAGCAGAAACATCGATGAAAGAGAAACATGATCAGCCGCCTCCTGCACATCTCCTACTGGGGATGTGCCTGCAACCAAGCCACATGCCCTTGACTGGAATCGAACCCGGGACCCTTCAGTCCGCAGGCCGACGCTCTATCCCCTGAGCCGAACCGGTTAGGGCTGATTTTCTTTTCTTTTTTTTTTTTTTATAAATATATTTTATTGATTTTTTA